CAAGTGGATGCCAAATGGAGTTGGTGGCTGGGTTCCATCCCGCTGAATTCTTTTTTAAAGACTTGGAGAAAGGAGTACCCAGGGTTGCTGTTCCCTGATGTGAGGAATGCCTTTGTGTTCTGTCCTGAGCTTGGGTGTTAGTTTGTGAGAGTTTCAATTAAAAAAAAAGCTGTGAATTACTGCTTTTAAATGCACATCTTTCCTTCTAAAGACACAGCTGTTGATGAATTTAGCTTGTGTGTGGCTATTGTGGATGGTAGAATTACAATCCAGTATTATGGATGTTTTCTTTTGATACAAATCTGGTGAGGTACATGCAAAATATGTACAGCCCTTGGGCTCTTGGCGGGCTGCCAGCGGGACTGTCAGCGATAGCGTGGGTGCTTCTGATCTCATCAGAAAAGTCTGAACTGCTCTAATGGTTTGTGTTCCCATGTCTGTGTCATAGGGAGATGAAATGTAATCTGAAATTTCTTCACTAATTGGACTTGCTCTTTTGTCTGGCGTGGTCTTTGCTCTGGATCAGGGTGGTGGCATTAGAGATTCAAGGCAGTTTCCCAAAAGCCTGTGCTGCTGTTTCGTGTTGTCCTTAACTCCTGGTTCTTGTTGCAGTGATTCTGACACTCCCAGCTTGGGTTCTGAGGTCTCCCTCCCAATGTTGATCTTAGGCCATAAAGGAATGTTTTAGCAGGAGACAAATAGGTTGCTGGGTTTTTTTAGGAAGAAAATAAAGCAATTTATATTTGCTGTGAAAGTGTAAAAGATTGGGGTTTTCAGGGTAGTCTATAAAGTATGGAGACTGGATCAATACAAACTGCAAGAACTTTAGTTCTTTCATCTAAAACAACTCGTTGTGATCTGTGTTAAATTGGGTGTCCTGACCAAGTATTATATCTGCCATGTGAGATGCTTGTTATTGTTCACTTAGGCTTGGGAAGGCAGTTTATTTGATGCCAAAGCTGGCTTTGGAGTAGATACTAGCCTGCTCTGGAGCTGGGTTCACCTCACTGGCTGCACTTCCTAAGAGATTTGTTTGGAACAAAATCTCCCACCTTAAAAAAGACTTTTCCATTGTGACCTTTAGAGAAGCTTCAGCTTTTGTAATTATGTTTTTGTAGAAAAAAAAGTTAAAACCAAATGACCTTCTTTCACTGTACCTGGATGAAGTTCACCGGTGCTGTACCGGTGTATCTGCAGGTAGGGAATGCAATGCAGGTAGGGAATGCAATGCAGGTAGGGAATGTAAATGCAGGTAGGGAATGTAAATGCAGGTAGGGAATGTAAATGCAGGCATCCCGGCCCTGCTCCCCGGGCCCTCTAGTGGCTGCTGCGCCTGGCACCGAGCTCCTTGGAGCTGCAGGCAAACAGTAGTGAAGATTGGTGTGGCTAAGCAGGAAAATACATTTTGTGCATATTTTTGCTGTTGCTTTCTAGTTCGTCTTTCATCTGGATTAAATCCCAGTCCTTCCCTTTGGAAGGAGTTCTTGTAAATTCGAACTCCAGATAGTAACTATGATTTTAGGGATTGCCAGATGCATAGCAACTTGCAGTGGAGTTTTGTTAAAGAATGTCCCTCCTCTGGTCTCCCAGCCCTAGCAGACCCGGTTGGGGTGGTGCAACTGGGCTGTGTGGGTGGTTGCCAAAAGCCCCAGAGCTGGGCCGGGTCTGCACAGGCATGGTGCAGGATTTTAATTGGAGATAGGTACACACAGGGTGGGTTTTTTATAGGCTCTTGTAAGTATGCGCAGCACTTCTCAGTGGAAGCAGACAAAATACTCTTTGAGGCTTTTGGGAAAATGAATGTCTAGAGGAACCAAGTTTCATAGAAGTGGGGTTTAAAATCTTAGCATTTGGCTTTGTTCCTTGAGAGGACCATGCGTGCTATAAAATGTGTAAAGTCTGTTAATAGTCTGATTTTGGTTTTGTTTGTATTTCTATAGGAAAAGTCTGTTCACAGATGTAACCCTACTGAAGAGGCTTGCATGAATAGTTGCTTGCTGGGCAGGGCTGAATGCAGGCTGTTAGGCCTTTTTATAAGCACGGGGAAGCCCTTTCTGGCCCATGGGACTGGGATCAGGGCCTGAGCAGCCACTGGCCCAGCTCCCACTCGTGTGTGGCTTCCCTGGAGTGTGCACACCCCTTGAGCAGCCTCGTGCCAGGGGGGTGGCAGCCTCCCTGTGTTGGACACTGAAACACATAACAAAAGCATTGGGTACAATTTCAGTGTGCTACTCAGTGAGGTCATTGTGAGTGTTGTCAAGAGGAATTCTGGACAGTGTTTTGGATAGTGGATCAAGAATGGCTGTTACCCTGGTTTTGTGGCTTTTTTCCTTATTTGAGCCCTCTGGTGAGGACTGGTAAAAATCTCCCTACTGGCTGATGAACAATCAGCTCAACCTGTGCTGGCTTTTGCCTGGAGGTGGGGGCCTGGTACATGTGGAATTGGAGCATGGGGAGCTGATTTTAGCACCCCGAGTGTGTTACAACTTGCTTGTTGAAATGGGAAGTGGTCACCATAGGCCAGCTCTTGTGGGAGGCTGTTTGCCTCTTCAGGGGGCTGCACTTTGGATTTCCTTTCTCTTCCTCCCTCTGAGAAACACAAGGCAAGGGCTTGTGTGTATGTGATATATTTACTTATTTATTTAAGGGAATTGAAATAAAGTCTTTGAAAAAAACAACAACCAGATAGGTACATGCAGCTTGCAGTTTTTTCCTGGTTTCCATACTGTTGTCTGCTTCCTGTGTCTTAAATTCCTCTGCTTTATCCAGGTCACATTCCTGGTGTTCAGCCTCCCTTCCTGGCAGGACCCAACCGACCCCTTGCAGGTTCCTCTCTATCTCTGCTTGCTTCAGCCTGGTGGGACAGGAGGAAGGGCTGAGGTTGCCAAGGGTGGGGGGACAGGCAGGTTGGTGGGTGTCTGGAGGAGGGGGAGCCCTGCCATGGGGCTCTGTGAGCTGAGCTGTGGCATGGAGGGGGTGTGGTGGCTCCTCACCAGCAGAAGACAGTCTTGATTGTTAATTGGACACTGAGGCTGCAAGCAGGAGCTACAGATCTGTAGAAAAGCTGGCAACCACTCTGCATGTTGGCAGCATGCTACTGTCTAACATCTTAAGCCCCTCTGTGTTGTTAAATTCACTCTGTCTCTTGTAGAGCCCTTTTTCCCTGTGCTGGGTGTCCCTGAGGGCTCTGGTGCCTGTCCCAGCCGGGCTCAGCCCGCTCCTCGGCTCCAGCCTCCCTCGGGGCTGGCTGGCTGGCTTGCCCAGCTCCACTGTGGCTGGCAGCCTTAAAATCAAAGTGTTCTGCCTCTGCTCTTTGAACCATGGTTGTGTTGAAAGAAAGAGGGCACGTCTCAGGAGCCACCTCTGTCTGGACTTGCCGAGAGTTCCCGCTGTACAGCCGAGGGAAGCGCTGGTGCCGGCTGTTGGGGTGGGGGGTGGCTGTGCAGGACCTGCAGCATTAAGCAGCTAGCGGTTCCCTGGGATAGTTGCTTCTGCTTTAAACTTCCTGAGTCAGGTTGTTCTTATGTATAGCTTCATTTCATCCTGTTTCCAGCATAATTGCTGGGGGTTTAATATCAGCATTTACTAAGTGTGCACTGATGTGTGTGCCAAGCAGGGTTGGGAAAGGTACTTGGGAGAATGGATGCTTGACAATGGGGGTTGTGGCAAGTGCTGCCTCAGCCTTTCTCTAAGGACAAAAACTTGGAATCCTTGGGTTCAGAACTTTATCATTTTAACTGGTGGTGAGGCAATTACTGAAATGTTTCTCATATTCTGCAAAACAGATCTGTGTCAGGAAATAAATATAGAAGTAAATGGCTTGGCGTTCATCACTGAGCACTTAAGCAGCCTGCTAATGACTTGAAAAGGCAGCAACAGGAGATACCAGGAAGAAAAATGGCAATATCAAATTTATTTTCAAGTTTCATCTGCTTCACTAGAATTAAATCTGAAAAATGAAGACAAACACACATAAGAATGGCAATGACTCAGTGCTGGTCAAGGAGAGAAACCTTGTTTTGCACATAACCACTCGGTGCTGGTTTTAACTGAAATATGGTCTCTGTAGGAACCAAGCAGCACAGGACAGACAAGCCCTTCCAAGTCATCCACCACTGCTTGTTAGGTTAAATCCAAATGAAGGTTGACTGTAGTTAAAATCTGTTCCTTGGTAGTAGTGATCGGTTAAATCCAAGTTTAAGAAACTGCAGGAAACTTTTCAGAAGTCTGTTAAATAATCCTTATTTCACAGTAAAACGTGGAGCTTTTATTTTCTTATAAAGATCAAGTGTCTTGGAAAAGATTTGAAGTACACAAGAAAATTCACTTCATTCACTGTTTTAGAGGGAGCACGTGCCTCTACGGGTTGGCTGCAACCAGCCTGAGTTTTCACACAAGCTGTAGTTGCTGATTTTCAACAGTGGGGCAATGGAGCTGGGCCCTCGAAAGGAAAGCCTTTGGAAAACAGCTTCAACTGGTCGATGACTCATCCTGAGAGTGCTGTCTCCCTTAAAGACATCTGGGTCTCTTTCTTGCCATCCAGCAGCTGTTTCTGCTGGTTAAAGAAAGCTGTTCAGTTTTCAGGTTGAGATCTCTTCTGTTTCCCCTCAAAGCCCAAGTAATCCAGTTTTACAGACCTTTTCAGTTTACAGCAGTTTTAACTTTTTAATACCTGGTTGAAAGAACATAGTATTTTACATGCCTGCTTGTTACTGAAAGGATTCGTCTCTCCCTACTATATGCACTGTATATGCACTGAAGTTGGACATTATGTTTCTATTACTTAAAAAAAAAAATATCAGATTTAAGAAATTGCAGTAAAGAATGAATTTTCTAAATGAAGGAAATACCTTGGGAAAACAATCAACCTGTTTGTTCTATGTTTTATAAAAGGAATTGCTGAAATGTTGCTGAAGACTGATTTTTGGGGTGGTTACTTTTTAAGACAACAATGAAAGTGTACACAGCTCTCACATCTCTTCTCTTTCTGCAGCTCTGCAATGGTAGATGGAGTTACGATTCTTCCCGTGCTGCTGCTGCTGGCGTTTCCCTCCCCGAGCTGGCAAGGTGAGTGAGGTGGGTGGTGCTGCAGGAGCTCTGCTGCTGGAGGAGGGGGACTGAGCACCAGCTCTGCTCTCGGGGCTGCCTGGCTCAGCTCCACGGCACCCTGCTCCTTCGTGAGCTGGCAGCACAGGCACGTTCCTCTCGGGAATTAGATGTTTGCTTTTCCCTTTCAGGTTTCTTCAAAGGATATTTGTTGCCCATTTATGTGTAAAATTTATAGCATGTGTGGTGGGCATGGGTCTTGCCAGGGCCTGGGGCAGGAAATAGGAAACCTTATTTGAATGGCAAATAATTGAGCTGTGTAACAAGTAGGTCTCTCCAGCCCATGGGCTGAGGTGCAGTAGTGTTGCTTGAGTTCTTAAAAGCAAAGCTTTTTATTTTTTTCTCTGGGAAGGCTCTTTTGAGTATTTAGTGTGGTGTTAAACTTTTCCATGATTGATGCAGTAAGGTCTTTGGGTATGGAAAGTGACTTTTTCATAAAAGGGTCACACAGTTGTGGACACCTAAAGGTGTTATGAAGTGCAGCACGTGTAAGATTTGCCTCAGGAAAATGGGAGAAAGGCATTTCAACTGCCATGGAGAGGCAGGAATGGTTCATTTGGATGTCTTCTGGATGTTTTGGGAGATGACCTCCTGAAAGATGCATACTTGCTACTTAGCAAACACCCTTTTAAAAATATTGAATAAAGATTTTCTGTCAGTAACTCGGTTTTTCTCCATTTTAAGTGACTTGAGAGGTGTATCCTAGTGTTCAGTATGACATCTGTGCTCTTATGTATTTACCTGTGAAATCTTTCTGAACTACTCTGCTGAAACACATTTTCAAATGTTGATGCAAATAATACAAGGCAGAGTATATTGAATGGACTGTTAGAATGGATGGTGAAGGGTGAAGATTAAAAATCTGTGGAGGTCTGGTAATTGACTTTAGTCGTGTTTATGAATAGGAAATTGAGACAAAGTTTAAAAAGGGAGGAAGGCTGAATGAATGTTTGGAAAGACATTAAAGTGCTAATACTATTCATCCAATATTATCTTGAAATAAGGTTTGGTGCAGTTATCACACCATACCTTCTTATCATTCTTCCAAGTGCAGCTATTTGCTTTTCAAAAATGTTTTTTCAGCTTTAAGAGCTGCTTATATTAAGAGTCTTAAAGTTAAACCACCTGCCTTTCACATCCTTAACATCAAAAGCAGTAGATGGAGAAGGGAAAGGTGGATGTCAAAGTCTGCATCTCCAGTTAATTTCTTTCCCTCAGTGTCTGCAGTCAGATGCTGGCACTGCCTGTGCAGGGCAACTCACAGAGCAGCACCACCAACCCACCCTCCCTACCAAAACACCCTGCTGGTGTTCAGGCTTACTTGTGTGACCTGACTCTGCTTTAAAAAAGGAAAGTAGGTCCTAGGGCTTAAACGTTGAAAATATGTCAATGAGTAAGTGATCAGCAAGAGGAGAGTGGCTAAATCCGTGCGTGGTGCTAGGAGCCAGCAACCTCTGCTTGGGCTGAGGTGAAAAGCCTTGAAGCACAGAGATGGGCTTGGAGAGCACACCTTGGAGATGCTATCACAGATCAGTCCATTTCCTTTCACTGGGATTTGGACCAGGCTGTTTTTTTTCTGGTTTTGGGGTGGGTTTTTTTGAGATTTTTTCATTTTTGATAGTGAAAAATGCCAGAATGTACCTTCAGCCAGCATTCAGGGACAGACTATTTTTGCATTGCCACTGGGCTTCAGAAGATGAGATTAAACAGGATTTTAAAAACAACCCAAAAAATCAAACACCGTGTAGAATTGTAAGTGCAGAAACACATCTCTTCCCTGCTTGAGTGTCCAGAAAATCCTTTTATCCTGAAGGCTTACAGCAGCATGTGCTTCTGTTACATCTTTATTAGCCCTGTCAAGTGGGGAATGGGGCTTCTCATTTCTCAGGAAGGTAAACCCTGACTTAAAGCAGAGCACTTTGTAAATGCTGCAATGCCTGTGCTTGAAAGGGTGAGGTTTTTCACTTGCTTATGACTCTGTCCAAGCCCTGTTTCCTGATCTAATGGCAGTGTTGGGAGCATGGAAGCCTAGGCAAGTGGCTGAGTCACAATCCCTAGCAATGTTCAAAAGACATGCAGATGTGGCACTTATGGACATGGTTTTACTGGTGGACTTGGTAGTGCTAGGCTTATGGTTGGACTGGATGTTAAGAGTCTTTCCCAACATAAATGATTATGTGATTATTATTATGGCTGTTGTGTAATGCTTGTTACTGTGTGCATTGAGAAAGGGAATGTAAAACTCTGAATGGAGTAGTCATCTCTCCAAACTTACTGTTTCCTGTTTCCCTGAATGGCTAAGAATCATAAAGGGAAGCTGACCACCAAAAAAGAGCTGTCTAATGTCCAATTCGAATCTAAAGGGAATTAACTTTTCCCAAGCCTACTTGTCTTCAATTCATTAAGATACGAAGCCCTAGCAGATCCCACCTCTTCCCCCAGTTCTAGTGATTTAAAAAGAAGAATATTGCTGCTTTTAAATATTCTGGCCTTTGAGCATGAAGTCCCTTTCATCCTACTAGAGGTTTCAGCAGATGTATTAAATAAACTTTGCCTGGGCTCTGTAACCTTTCCAGTTTCCCATCTGAAAAGTATGATCCCCTCAAAGCCCAGCAGGGGCGGGGCTGGTGCTGAGCAAGGGTCTGTGCATGTGCAGAATGGGGCTCAGCTGGGGGGCTTGCCAGGCCCCTCACTCCCTCTGCTGGAAAGAGCAATCCATTAGATGCAGTTCTTCAAGTTTTGCTGTCATAAAGTCATGTCCTGGTCAGTAAAGGACTAATTTGTTCAGGGCTTGTTCACCTCTCTCCAGCCTTGGCCACCTGGCTCTTTTTTTTTCCAGCCATATGCTGAAGGATCTTGGGGCGTCTGTGTAGGTTGTCCCTCTGAACACTTGCACACGTATGTGTGCTAAATGTGTATTCTGTCTGTGTAGTAAGATGTGCTAGTCTTTATCTGCAAGGTAAAATTGAGTCCTGTGAGAGAAGCAAGGAGTTGGACACTGTGGGATCTTTCAAACTTGAGATATTCTGTCAAATTTTAAAAGGGGGCATATGCACTGGTGGGAGGAAAGGATTTAATATTGCTGAAGCCCTTCTTTAAAAGGTACACATAATATAATTAGAGACTGTATCTTTAGAAGGAAAATTGACTCTTATGGTACATGTTTTTACTTTTCAGCTGAGATGACTTCAATATTTGCTGGCCACATCACATAGTTAGCAGGTGTTGTTTCAAGTCAAAAGTAGTTGAAGCTGCATTGCTGTAGTGTCAGCAAGAAAAGGTAGCCAAGTGCCTATTGTACTTGCTATTTCAATGGAAAGTGAGTTGCTCTGCTAACTGTGAAGAGCTTACATCAGAATTAAGATGTCTTACCAGAGGCATATGTAGTGCCTTTCTCCTTGGAGAGAAGTTTGGTATTTTTCCCAAGTGGTTAACCATGCTTACAGTCCGGGAATTTGATACAAAATATGAAGTAAAGCTGTCTAGATTGGTCACTGGTTGTGTGAAGTAAACTTAACATATAAGTATATAACTTGACTTTGTTTCCTTAAACCTGTGTTCTCAGGATCTGTGGGGTGGGGAGGGCTGTGGTCCCCAGGAGGAATGTACACTGACTGAGATGTGGAGTGTCCTGTTCTGTTGAAATAACAAGATAATTGAAGTCAGCACTCTTACTTGTTGACTTTCACAAAATGAATAAGCAAACAAAATAAAGGAGCTTCAATTCAGACACTTTTGTAATAATGAATAAACTAGTTCATGGGAAGTTAATGCAAATCTGTCTCCTTGTGTGGCAAGTTGGATTTGTGTGTGTGTCTGTGCACAATAATACAGGCCAGAAGAGCAGCAACAAGTCTGTATTAAGAAGCAAAAACATATGCAGTGAACATGTTTAGGTAATGGAAGTATTTTTAAGCTTGGCTTCTTGCCTGTGTGTGCTGCCTGACTGCTACTTGGGTTGTTGGTCTGCCCTCCATGCCTGGAGCTGCTGTTGAGCAGCTACCTCTGAGTGTGTGTGTCTGGGGGAGCTGATCTGCTTCAGCCATGACCTCTTGCTTGGCACTGGCCCATGGCAATTGCTGGTCACATCTGTCCTGCTGTGGACAAGGTACAGCTCTGCCTCTGCTGAGGGCTCACTCTGTGCCAGCAAACCTGTGCTTGCCAAGTGCAGTGGGTGTCACTGTGGGGAGCTATGGCTGGAGTCTCCAGCCTGTGGTACCAGGCTTTGTGTCCAGGGAGCCTGCTCTGCAGGGCAGCACAGTGCTCAGCCCATCTGGCTGCTCCTGAGCTGCAGCTCTGGCTCAGCTGGTGCCCTGCAGCAGCACAGGAGGGCACCTCCTGGTTCTGCAGCCTGAATGAGCCTTCTTCTCTGGGGACAGCTCAACCTGTTCTGTAAGTGAGGGTAGCTCTTCAGGAGCGTCAGTGAGGGAAGGGCTGGCTGGAACATGGTGGTATACCACGGAGCTGGAAAACCCCTTGGGTAAGGAAAGGAGTGGTTTGGGTTTAAGGAATAGTAACAGTGCTGAAGGAGTGTGTCTCTTTGTCCAAGCCAGGAATTTTTCACCAGAAAAGTTCCCTTTTCACAGCATTGGCCCTTATTGGTCCTTACTAGGATCTGCAGCAGCTCACATGTAATGAGCCAGTGTTACTCTGCCTTCAGGCTCTCTTACATGGATCCACAGCCTGTGTGCCCTGCTCAGTTGCTCTCCCTGCCTTCAGACTCACTGTCCTCTCCACATACAGGTCATATCTTTGGAGCTGCAAGGCCTTACTTTGTTGTTTGTAAGGGATGGAAGGTGTGCTCTGTGTGGGCTGGTCAGCAGCCCTGCGGCTAAGTAGCCACTTCCTGGCCCCTTCTGGGACTGCCGAGCTCTTCCAAGAGGTGGCACACAAAGGGAGGTGGTTTTCTGCCAGAACTGCTCCTCTGGCTTGTGTGAGGTTTGATCAGTCTTGAGGGGTCTTTTGGTCAAGAGAAGGGAAGCATTAGGCTGGATCATGCTGCAGGCCAGATTAATTTTTGCTGTGGACTTGATACGACTCTCAGGAGAGGCTGGTTATCCTCCTCTGCAGAACAGCTATTTCTGCTCTTGCTTTATAGCTGAAATGGCTGTTTCTGCAGCCTGCAAACCTCCTCAGCTCAGGCCTCACAGGCCAGTGATTCTCAGTGACAACAGAAATGTCTTGCTCACTGGTAGGGATTGAAGTCCTTGCTGCCAAGGGGCTGTCTAGGGAAGGCTGTCCATACATACCACAGGTATGGCTCTTGTACTCTTTCGGCAGGTCATGACTGTGCCTTGGGAGGAGACCCTTGCAGCTCTCTGGCTTTGAATGTCTTTGTCAGTTCTAGATGAAGAGCTTGTGTGTTATGGTACCAGTTGTGTTTTACTGCTGCTGTTGTGGGAGGAGAAGGAACAGAACTTTGATTATAGGAATGTTTGGCATAACTTTTAAAAAAATTAAAGTTCCACAAAGTTAGCAAGTTATCAGTAGGTACATGTATGACTGGGGTTGTGTATATCAGTACTTGAAATAAATGTACTAGATGCTGTCTGAGTTCAGGATTCTTTTCCTAATTTAGTTTTTGTTCAGTGGTTCAAAAATGGAAAATTATATTTGTGTATTTGTTCATTGTGGGAGGAGGGGTGGAAGACAAACTGAGTTATATTCCCAGTGGGCAGCCCCTAATGATAGGCTTGAAAAAGGCCAACACATGGTATGCTCAGCTGCTATTTTAGGAGCATTACTGCATTTGTGGCTGGAAATTTTTCCTGTGTGTTAGAACTGCAAAAGTGAATGTAAATATGAGTTAAGTTGCTGTAAGTGTGTGTGTGTGCATGGGGTGTGTGTGACATAGAGCAGTGACTTGTCCTGTCCTCAGAGCTGGGCCTCTCTGCTCAGCTCTCTGTGGATGTATATGGCTGTCTGTCTACCACCACAGGCACCTGTATTTCCCGGGATATGGAAGAGCCTCCAGTGTTCTCCATCAGCTAGTTGAGAGTGGTGTTCTCTCCTGCAGAGACCAGAGTGATCCAGTGCTGTGTTCAAAGGCTGTTCCTGAGGCAGCAGTGTGTGTGATCCCTGAGCAGGCAGAGTGGGCTTTCCCCAGCTGGGGATCTCTGGACACTGCTGAGGATATTTAGAAGTTCAGTTTCCTACTCTGCAGACTCTCTTAGAAGTTCTTTCCTTTACTTGGCTGAAGAATCTGGAGTTGGAAGGGAGGTGGTGTACCTGCTGACAGTGTGTGCTGCTTCTGGCTTTATTCTTTGTGTGGTTGCTCGGAATTGCAAGGCTTGTCCTCTTGGGAAGGTTGGCCCAGATTTACTTTTCAAGCAAGTTACTTAAACTCGCTAGATCCTGTGTAGTAGACCTGGTCCTGTTCACTCTAAATTTAAATGGCCTTAGTTTGATTTAGTTAAAGCCATTTCCAGAATGCTTGAGAATAATACCCATGTGGGAATGTGATATAGTCTAGTAAATCTGTTTTAAGTTTGCACTGTTAGCTTTTCCCCTCTGGTGTCCCTCCTGTGCTGTGTACCCACAGCAGTGTGTGTGAGGGGGGATGTAAAATGGCACTGAGCTCTCCCAGTTTGAGTACTGGAGTGGGCAGGTGTGGCTGGTAGTTCTTTGATGCAAGCTCATGTTTTTGTCTTGCTGAAACAGCTAAATTAGTATTGTTAGCTCCTATTGGTGGTTCTTCAGCACTAGGTGCAGTTTAATTTCTTCCCTTCAATAGAAGGTTTTCTTGTCCAGTGATTTAATTATCTCTGTACAGCTGAACCTATCAAGAATATGATGGTATTTTTTCCCCAACTCTGGATCCTTTTACAGATGATGAACTGAAGCTCAGTACGGTACAACACTATGAATGTGTGTGTGAAGGCATGTCCTGTGGCAATGGAGATCGTTGCAAAGGCCAGCAATGTTTTGCTTCCCTGAGCATTAACGATGGTGCTAAAGTTTACCAGAAAGGCTGCTTCCAAGTCTATGAACAAGGGAAAATGACGTGCAAAACACCTCCGTCTCCTGACCAAGCTGTTGAGTGCTGCCAAGGATACCTGTGCAACATGAATATCACTGCACAGTTGCCCTCTTCTAAAGGTGAGAGGTTAATTAATAAAGAGTGGATTTTGTGGGGAAAAAAAGAAAGGTTTGGCTTTCATCTGATGTAATGGGGGTGAGATGGCTTCAGTGCTAGCAGAAGTCAGGGTTTCATCAAGGCAGTGAGGCCCTTTCTGCTTGGTTCTCTGAGACCCCCTTGCACACAAATGGGGGTTGCTTGAATGATCTCCCTTGCTGGATGAATGGCAGGGGTTGAAGCACTCAGGCAGGGTCAGGTCTGGGTTCCCACCTGGGAGGGAGCTGCACAGCAGAGGTGGGTTCTGAAGCGCCAGGGTTGTTCTGGCAGCTCTGCAGGGAGTCACTGCCCTGCCACCCTTTGTGTCAGTGCACAGTCATGGCTCTGGCTGTCAGAGCCTCTTGTTCAGACTACATGGTACCAAGTTAAATGTTGGTGTCAGAGCTACTGGTTTTAAATACATTCTCTGGGAATTTGCAAATTTATTTTCTTCTCTTTTTCTCTTTTCCCCCCCCTTCCCTCTGCTTTCCAAGGGCAAACCTTTCAAGGAGAAGCTGCAGGTTACAGCGTGGAAACACTAATCTCTGTTATACTGGCTCCTGTGTTAGTGTTGGTAGTTTTTTCTACAGTAGCTGTGCTGATCATCCGGAGAATACAGAAAAACCACATGGAGAGGCTCAATTCTAGGGATGCAGAATATGGCACCATTGAGGGACTCATTGCATCGAATGTTGGAGACAGCACGTTGGCAGTAAGTAACTCGTGTGCATGGGGAGAGTCTGGGTGAGCGGCCTGCACTTCAGACTCTCCTGTGCCCTCCAGACATGGGTCACTCCGCATCAGTAATAACCTCCAGCTGCCAGGGGATGCTACTTAGCCTCAGGACTTCTGTGGCGACATTCTTATGCTTGCGAAGCTGCAGTTTTCATGAAATGTAACCAAAAGGCAGCTTTTGCAAGTAGAGACTCTTTGGCCTTGGTGAATCATGGGGATTTTGTTGGCAGAAGAATGGTAGGAATTTTAAGAAATGAGAATCACTTACTCAAAATTCAGTTTTTAAAATATGTTCTTGTTCCCCAGTCTCTGAAAAAGAAAATTACATGGGGAAATCTTTTGAAAGACTTAGCGTGTCTTACTCTCTCACTTGAGCCTAGACAGAGAGAGTGTTGCCCACAGCTTTCCCATGCTTTATGTAAACTGAGCAAGTAAGGCTTCAGAGGCAGCTCGAGTGTCTGTTCCTGAAACCAATGCAAAGAGGAGAAGTTTTCTCCTTGTGTTTCTAGGATAAGATCTCTTCAACATTAAGAGGCTGAAAAATATTTTCCATTTTGGTGCTTAGCCACCATCATGTGCTTTCACTGCAAGGTTGAAAAGTGGCTAAAAAAAACCAAACAACAAATATTTTTTAAAATATGCCACTGAATATGTTGACTGGCATTTTGTTTCTGTGTCTTGAACTGTTTCTCTCTGTAGGAGAGAGAAACTGAAATGGGAATCTCTGTAAGTGGGGATAGCCTTTGATACATTACTTAGAAAGTGTTGGTCACCATGAATTAGGGCAACAGGTCTGACATGAACTTACTGGTTTTGACATATTTTAAAGCATATTTTAAGCATATTTTAAAAAATCATTATTCAGGTAAGGAAGTCCCTGGGCTGAATGTGTTTGGAGGCTGGGAGAACATTAGAGGAAAGTGTCATGTATGTTTAAGTATTCCCATGTTTGCTTCTAATTCCCTCCACTTGTTGTATCCCAGTATTCTAATAACCCCAGTGCCCCTGGATGCTTCCGTATGTTTCGTCCTCCTGTATTTTCTGCTGGCTCAGCTCCCTCCACTTGTAAAGCCCTGAAAAAGGGCATTGCTTTTGGGTACAGTCAGGTACAAGGTACTGATCTAGAGGGACCTTGGGGTGGCCACTCTAATAACAACTTTTAGCTTTTAAATGCCAGCTTCCTTAGTAAGAGGGAGCAATGGAAACTGCCTCCCTCTTGGAGCTTGATGTCCAGGCACACATATAACTGCAGATGGAGCAGCAGCTTTCTTGGAAGTTTTGCTTCAGCTTGGCCCTATCTTGACTATAGTTGTTCAGCTTTTTTTAAAATGCCTTTGGCTCAATTTAATTAGTCCACAGGCTTGATTCTGCTTTACTGTTTTAAAAGAGCCAGTTTTGGTGTGTTCACCATGAACTAGCATGTGTGCAACTGGTTATCTGTCTTTTTAGCACTGGCTTCCAGCTTTTACTAGCTGTTATCTCTTATCACTGCCAGAGCACTTCCATTCCATTTGCAAACCTTTTGCACTTCAAGTCATTTAATGTTACTTGGAAACGGTGATAAAGGCTGAGAAGAATAAATCAAAAGTCTTTTAAAAAGAAATTTGAGAAGTTGCAAACTGTAAAAGCCTGGTCTATTGGAGTTGTTTTGTTCTCAGCTGTCAGACCCTCTTAGCTTTATGATTGCAGTGCCTCTGCTGTGCCCCTTGAGTGCTAGTGATGTAAAAAAAAAAATTGGTAGTTCCTTGTTTCTAGATGTTAATCTAAACAGTAAGTCTTTTGTAAATTCCACTTTTTTCCTCTCCATTGTGTGTTTTAAATCACTGGTTTTCTTACACATGAGATTAGTTTACATTCAGGATTAGTCTCCATAGTGTAGCAAATGCTTAAAGCCCTGAACTTCCAAATGGGAATGGAAAGAACTGTGGCCTCTTTAAATCTTGTTTTTACAGTCTCTGCAGATAAGTTTTGTTGTGTGATTATTTTTTTTTTTCTTCTGATAAAAGCAGGAAGGATAATGAGCACTCAGTTTGTATTGAAAATCCAAATAGCAGTCTGCTGTTGTTCTTGGCTTATCTTTTTCTTGAGCAGTTGTTAAAAAATGGTGAGGAGAAATGAGATTTCATCTGGTTAAAGCCCAGTAGTCCAGTTTGCTGGAAAGACAAAGTTTATTATGCTTAGGTGTTTTATCCTATTATAAGTCCAGTAACACAGTATGGACTAGTATGGAAGTCCTAGCCATAGAAGTTGCAGGGTATTAACACTTTAAAAGGCTAATGGGATTTTAACATTGAATTAGAATCTCCCTCATGTCTGTTACAAGCCCACAGTGTTAACTCTGGTTTCCATGCAC